GCTTTTTACTAATTTATGCAATCCATTTGGTAAATACACTTAGCACATAGTCATTTTATTGCAAATCAATTTTCTAGTGGAATGTTACTCTTCCATTTCACAAAGCCAAACAAAAAATTACCAAATAAATTTTCTATGCTAACACATTTAGCAAGTAGGCATCGAAAATTTCTACCGTTCAAAGAAAAAAAAAGGAGGCATAAAAATACTTAACATGTCATTTGTAACATATATACATATATCTAACATACACATACAATTACACTTCCATCCACAAATTGCATTTCATCACAAAATCAATAAACACATACCGAGTTGATTAGTTCTTATTGGAATGGTAATGTCGAGCGGTGATTGTAAAAAAACTATGGTAATGAGGATTGGCTGTCGTAAGCAGCTATGGTAGTGATGAGTGGTGACCGTAAGCATATATGGTGTGGTATATAACCACTAGATTTAGGACTGAAACAATGCATACAATGCATCTTGCATAAATTCTGATTGTAGCAATGATTTTGTCCAATGTTTTTAATAGTTTATTATGTTTAAATTGTAGCTCCCCGAACATTATTGTCTTAAATATTATGTTTTGAATGTCATGTATCTTTAAGAAAATGATGTTTAGTATTGCAAAGAATAATTGAAGAACATTTAAGTCCCACGAAACTTCATATAAACTAAAACTTGTTTTTTCTTTACCGACAAAATTGCAAAAATGGTCACTGTGGTTTGTCAATTTCTGTGGGTAAGGTCCAAAAAAAAAGTTTATTAGCAAAAAATGTCCCTATTTGGTGGTTTTGTTATCGTTTTGGTCCCCTACCTCGTTAATTTAACAGCATGGCTGTTAACTTTTGTCAAATGACAGATTTACCCCTGTGACCATTTCTGCAGTTTTATCTTTTTACCAAACTATAAGGACCAATTATGCAATTTTTCTTTTTCATTTTATTGAATTATTGTATATTAATTCTTTTAATTACTTTTTTTTATAACTTTTTTCTTATTGTATTATTTTTTATTGGATTATTATATATTAATAAATATTATTTTTAATATATTATATTTATATATTAATAAATATTACTTTATTTGGTTATTAATTTTTTTTGAATTTCTTTTTTATTGCATTAATTCTTTTTTATTGGATTATTATATATTAATAAATATTATTTTTAACATATAATATTTATCTATTAGTAAGTGTTACTTTATTGGATTATTAATTTCATTTAATTAATTTTTTTTATTTTTTTATTGTGTTAATTCTTTTTATTGGATTATTAATTTAAATTTATTATTTTTATTTATAAAAAATAATATTTTTTAATTGTTTTTATTTTCTTTTAATTTCTTTTTTCATTGTTTTAAATAAAAATACCAAAAAATTTCACCCACCCCATCTTTCCTAATTTATTTTAAATATTTGGAAGATAACATATTTTGAACACCACCACCACCATCACTCAGTCACAACAAACCACTATCGGGTCATCTCCAATATGTAAATATTATATGTATATAATTTCAGTAATTATTCACGAAGTGAGATTATCATGTGTATTTTAGTATTTGTGTATTCACATATATCTAAATTTGTTATATATTTCAATAAACTTATGATTTTGACATATATAATTTCCCTAAAAATATTTCTACATGAATTACCAAATCCGAGTATTCGCTACTCGGCGGTCGGCCGAACGAGTATCGAATAACGAGTTCTACAACCTTGCCACCACTTGTAGTGGTTATGGTGGTTTGAAAACCCTCGATCTAACATTGTCGTCATCGATGACGATATCTGTAATGAATATTCGGTTGGAGGTTGTATGTTTTATGGAATTTATTGCACATTGTGTGGGTAGTCGACTGCAAGGCCGTTCCAAACATATTATGGGCCCAGAGCGAAAGAAAAAAATGAGCCCTTAAATACACAAATGTCATCAAGTTTCTTTATAATAACTCAATAATTGAAAGAAAATTACTTATATTATCTTCTAAATATAACAATTATCATAAAAAATTTGGGCACTTTTAAAAGATAGGCCCTGGACGGTAGCCTCTATCGCCCACCCTCTGGGATGAGCCTGGTCAACTGGTGTAGTTTTCTTTGAGAATAGCCGACTGTAGTCGATGATCGATGATTTCCAGCGAGATGATACGACAACGCAATGTGGTAAAAAGCAACGAATGGGGGAGCTGAACAGGAGTGTTTGGATCGGACCTCCTCGTGGTTGTAGCAGAATATGGTCAGCTTAGTGGTAGATATAGAGGATTCCGACGAATATAATATAATATAATAAAATAATACTTATTAAGATATAAATATAATATAATAAAATTAATATTTATTAATATATAATAATCCAATGAAAAAAAATTAATCTAATAAAGAAAAAATTGAAAAAAAGAATTAATTAAAACACTCCTGGTCAGCTCCTCCATTCGTTGCTTTTTACCACCTTGCGTCGTCGTATCATCTCGCTGGAAATCATCGATCATCGACTACAGTCGGCCATTCTCGACGAAAACTACACCAGTCGACTACCCACACAATGTGCAATAAACCCTAGAAACCATACAGCCTCCAGCCGACCATTCATTACAGATACCGCCATCGACGATGACAATGTTAGATCGAGGGTTTTCAAACCACCATAGTCACTACAGGTGGTGGCAAGGTTGTAGAACTCGTTATTCGGTACTCGTTCGGCCGACCGCCGAGTAGCGAATACTCAGATTTGGTAATTCATTTAGAAATATTTTTAGGAAAATTATATATGTCAAAATCATAAGTTTATTGAAATATATAACAAATTTAGATATATGTGAATACACAAAAATTAAAATACACACGATGATCTTACTTCGTGAATAATTACTGAAATTATATACATATAATATTTATCTATTGGAGACGGCCCGATAGTGGTTTGTTGTGACTGAGTGATGGTGGCGGTGTTGTCCAAAATATGTTATCTTCCAAATATTTAAAATAAATTAGGAAATGTGTGGTGGGTGAGATTTTTTGGTATTTTTATGTAAAACAATAAAGAAATAAATTAAAAGAAAATAAAAAAATTAAAAACTATTATTTATTATAAATAAAAATAATAAATTTAAATTAATAATCCAATAAACAGAATTAACGTAATAAAAAAAAAGTAAAAAAAATTAATTAATTAAATAAATTAATAATCCAATAAAGTAGCACTTACTAATCGATACATATTATATGTTAAAAATAATATTTATTAATATATAATAATCCGATAAAAAAATTAATGCAATAAGAAGAAATTAAAAAAAAAATTAAAAAAATAACAATCAAATAAAGTAATATTTATTAATATATAAATATAATATATTAAAAATAATATTTATTTATATATAATAATCCAATAAAAAAATAATACAATAAGAAAAAAGTTATAAAAAAAAGTAATTAAAAGAATTAATATACAATAGTTCAATAAAATGAAAAAGAAAGCTTGCATAATTGGTCCTTATAATTTGGTAAAAAGATAAAATTGCAGAAACGGTCTCAGGGGTAAATTCATCATTTGTCAAAAGTTTACAGTCATGCTGTTAAACTTAACGAGGTAAAGACCAAAAGCACAACAAAACCATCAAATAAGGACCTTTTTTACTAATAAACATTTTTTTGGACCTTACCCATAGAAATTGACAAACTACAACGACTATTTTTGCAATTTTTTCTTCTTTACCATATATGATATCTTTTAGTTCATCTTTGAAAATTGTTTTTTTATAAAATGCTTAATAAATTATTTAAAATGTAAACTTTGTTCTATAATACTTGTTTTTTTCTTTACCATATATGTTATTATAATAGATAAAAACAGCTTTATTTAAAATGTTTAGGACATATCGGGATGTCCAAGGAAAGTTTGTAGAAAAAAATTGGGAGGATATGAAAATAAAATGATAATTATTAATTAATCTGATGTTTGTTTTGTGATTTGTTAGCTTTATAATGTCTAAATTATTTAAATGCACAACAAATTAAATCAAATATAATATTCATTATCATTAGTTATTATAATTTTTAATACTATTTAAAGTACATATAATGATACTCATTCTAATATATTATTCAATAATTATAAATTATAAATAATTAAGATATTTGTTAAATATAAAATATATTACTGAATTATTATAAATTATATATAATTAAGATATTTGTTAAATATAAAGTAGTTTTGATTGACAATAAAGATCAACTTTCATGCATTTGTTATGATGAATATGTAGTCGGAAAAGTTGATAAACATATGAAAAACGAGTGGGATAAGGTTGGTGTGGATTGTCTTAGTATGAAATCAATAATAATAATAATCAAGGGATGATGACTTGAACAAAGGGACCAACTTTTGAATTTGTACATAATGTTTTTACATATTAAACCATTAAATTTACATTAATTGTTGAAAAAATACCATTATTACCGACAATTATAACTTCAACACTGATTCCGCATCTTATTTGTGAGCTAGACTATCAAGTCATCTTCCTCATTTAGGGTTAATGTTGTTCAAACTAAACAGAAAGAAAGCCAAGTCCAAATAGAAGGTCTTCAACTCTTCATCCTCGTTTCTTCTTCTTCTATAACCTCTCCAACTCAACTACATCATTGGAGGATGTACATCCTTGTTATTATTAGTTCATTCTCGATTGTGATCATATCATGGAGAGTTAACCAAAAACATGGTCAAATGGGTTTTTTAAGAGGACAGGTGTTGTGATGCAGCAATCGAGAATGAAATTTCTGAAGGCTTCAATGCAAACATTAGTTCAAAATTGAAACCCACTTGCCATATATTTGGGGCAAACCCTAAATCTCCTGCCATTTATCATTTGTCCATGATGTCCATATTCGAGAGGTGGATGTATTTTAAGAGTAAAAACAAGTATTTCACATAAATAATCAAAGCTGCAATATTTCCATTTTTAGAAAGATTCCAATGCAAATCATCTAAAGGAAACATTTTAAGTATTTAAATATTAATCAAAGAATTCCATAAACTACTACATACCAATTTCAAATGTCAATAATGAAAAACCAACACAAAAACATCTTATAAAACATAACAAAAAAAGATAATTTTAATGAGTATAATATAATAAATATATAAGGAGGAAGGCAATGAGAATGCAAGACTAATACGCAATAGCCTTTTCACCGGCAAAGCTGCTCTACTGCCGCCACAATTTGTGGCGGCTGAACCACCGTCCACTCCTCTAAAGTCCCTGCATACGGTGTCGGCACATCCTGCGATGACAAACAAACAATCGGTGCATCCAAATAATCATGAAAATTTTCAGTAATCGCCGCCGTCAAACTAGCCCCAATTCCACCGGTTCTCATGCATTCCTCCACAATCAACACCCGATGAGTCTTTTTAATCGAATTCCCAATCGTATAAAGATCAAACGGCTTCAACGACCTGATATCAATCACTTCAGGATCATAACCCTTGTTGACCAAAGTCTTCGCAGCCTGCATCACATGATACCTCATTCTTGAATAGGTCAAAATCGTCACATGTTCACCTGGTCTCACCATTTCAGCTTCTTCTAAACTCAAAACATATTCTTCATCTGGAATCCTTTCTTTCAGATTGTATAATAAAACATGTTCAAAAAGTATCACAGGGTTGTCGCTTCGAATAGCTGCTTTCATTAGTCCTTTTGCGTTGTAAGGAGTTGAGCATGCCACCATTTGGATTCCCGGGATGGATTGGAAATACGATTCCAGTCTTTGGGAGTGTTCCGCTCCAAGCTGCCGCCCGACTCCGCCAGGGCCTCTGATGACCACCGGAATCTTGAATTGACCACCGGAGGTGTAGTGGAGCATGCCACAGTTGTTGGAGATTTGATTGAAAGCGAGGAGGAGGAATCCCATGTTCATACCTTCGATGATGGGACGTAATCCGGTCATGGCTGCTCCGATTCCCATTCCGGTGAAGGAGTTCTCTGCTATGGGGGTGTCGAGGACTCTTAGGTCGCCGTATTTATCTGCAAGTCCTTTTGTTACTTTGTATGAACCTCCGTAATGGCCTACGTCTTCTCCCATGACGCATACACGAGCGTCTCTTTCCATTTCTTCTTCTAGACCTTCTCGGAGAGCTTCAAAGAGTAGTAATTCATGGCTGTAGAAGAAATATTGTTTGATTATGAGTTATAGAATTATATCACCTCGTATTCCAAAGAAATGTGATTAGGATGTATAGATCTGAAGTAACATGCTTACCCAGGTTTGGATGCAGTTGATGCTGCTGGATTATCAGACTTTGTCTACAATACATACACGATAGAATAGTTCATTAGATAGATCAGATTAAACAAACAGAGATACGTAAAAAATTGAGTAAAAAAGATGCTCACTGCAACAGCGTTTGTAACCAAATGGTCTGCTCTGCCATCTGTCCTGCTCGAACCACTGTTCATCTTCGCACCAGATCTCACAACAACAAAACTCGTTTTCCTCTCTGAAATTCAAGCAATAAGCTATACAGATCAGTAAAAATTGATTATAATCCACGAAAATCTCAAACAATTGAAACACTACGAGAGGAAATAACCTAACTGGAATCAATCAAATGCAATTGCAAACCTAAAAAACATCAATCAATAAAACTAAAACAATTGAAATCAATTCTACAAACCTGGAAGAGATCTGCGAGTAGAGAACTGGAATTTCTTGGTGTCGAATGAGGTGGATGACGAGAGCGCTGTTGCAGCTCCGACTCCTTGAAAAATCGAAGCCATTGTCTTCAAGATTTGAGGATGAAACTAGTGCTTGCAAGAAGATCAATTGGTAAGCAAACTCGGAAAGAACACCAACTTCACTCTATAGTGTGTGGGGGAGCGGCGGCGGAGGAATCGAGGAAGCTCTCTGTGGCGAAGCGTGTGTCGATTTAGTGGGTGTTTGTTGCAGAAGAATTGGGGCTTCGGAGTCGGACTTTGATTTTAACGCCGGTTCCCCTACAGCGGGTGTGCATGATAAGAAATGTTCCTCCAAATCTTAATAGGACACGTGTCATGAGAAGGACTTAAGTACACTTGAAGAATAATTTTTATCTACGTGGATGTATAGGAGTAGTTGGATGCATCATGCATCTATGCAAAAAATAAATAAATTAATTATAAAAAATCAAGGCCTTTGAGTCAATATGATGTGTTGTTTCTTGTTTGGTCACCAATTGGCAGCAAAACCGATGGTTTTATACGACTTGGAAACGGGTTGAATTAATTTTTTGTTTATTTTTTGATTTTGTATGAGTAAGTAATATAGTAAAGATAGTATAGATAATTGTAGCTATAATTTAATTGTTTGGTTGAAACTATTAAAAGTCTAAAACATGTGTGGATTAGAATTGGAGGTTGTATTTTTATTGTTATTGGTATATCGTAATCTTATACGATTTTATATGTGTTCTAATCATCCATTTTTTTACATAATTTTTTTTTATAGAATAACCCATATACTCTACATATATTTTACGGGATCAAAGTCGGTGTATAACATTATCATGGCTTAATACATCATTTTCTATTTTTATCGAGTCTCCATCTATAGGGGGTGTTATTGTATCCAACATTAGTACAACTTGATCTCATATATCTTTAAATATGTTGAAGTCTACTACATAAATCAATGACTCAATATATATCATACATTTTATGTTCGTTGGCGTTGATAATATCATATTAGAATACACGATTAGTTGCAGGGGACAATGAATGGTCCTCGTGCAGAAGAGATTTCGGTTTAAAAACTAAATTCTCACACCAAAAAAAAAAAACATAGATAAACAATGTTTGTATTGTATCACGTCAAATGTCAACCTTTCAACAACATCATGCACTGTTCGACATACTTATTTTCTACCCTAAACACACAAACCAAAAAAAAAAAAAGGAAAGAAACAATCCGTTGATAACTATTGAAGCCTTCAACACATAGACACCTACCAAAACATATACTTCAACAACGATATCGTTAATAAATTATAAAAATTGTTTGTCATTGTTCATTGTTAAGCATAAAGCTTTGAGAGAGAAAATGAATTGATTTCTTTATTCATTTCTTGATTAACTGATTACAATATGTACATCGAGAATATATAGCATGCTAATAACCATTAACTAACTCTAACAAATCAAACTAACAGATTAACACTTGAAATACCGAAAATACCCTTAATGCTAACACCCCCCTTCAATCTGGAGGATATGAAATAAGACCTAGATTGTGTATTGCTTCTCGATGTTTAGATCCTGGTAAAGATTTAGTGAATACATCAGCTAACTGTTGAGTAGTAGGAACATGAGACAAAACAATTAAGCCATTTTGTCCTCTCGTGAAATACGGGGTTTTTGGCAATATATATAGCTGCAAGATTGTCACACTTCAAGGGTATAGGAGTAATATTGATGACTTGTAATTCTTCAAATACTCGACTTAACCAAGCAAGCTCTGCACAGACTCTTCTCATGGATCTATATTCAGCTTCGGCTGAAGAAAGTGATACAGTGAGTTGTTTTTTAGATTTCCAGGATATAGGATTTCCTCCAAATAAGATAAAAAATCCACTGACTGATCTTCTAGTGATTGGACAAGCTGCCCAATCACTGTCACAATAAGCTTCCAATTTGAAATTTTTGTCATTATTGAAGAATAATCCTTGAGAAGGTGTGCCTTTAAGATATTGAAGAACATGTAAAGCCGCTTCATAGTGATCTTGGCATGGTTTTTAATTGAATTGACTTAAATGTTGCACAGCAAAAGATAAGTCTGGTCTTGTATGTAAAAGAAAATTTAATTTCCCAATTAATTGTCTATATGTGGTTGGATCAGTTAAAGGGATCCCCATGTCAGGTAAAAGTGAAACTTTAGCAGGTAAAGGAGTTGAAGTTGAAGGTGACTGATCCATAGAATACAGAGCAAGAAGTTCACGAATGTACTTCTGTTGATGAATGACCATTCCTCCATTTGTTTCATTGAATTCTAACCCCAAAAAATACCCTATGTTTCCCAAATCCTTGATTTGGAATGTATCATTTAAGAACTCTTTGAGTGATGTAATTTCAACAAGATTATCACCTGTGATCAGAATATCATCCACATATACAGCAATGATAACAATTGAATGTTCATCTTTCTTCAAGAACAATGAATAGTCATTTGGAGAATGGTGATAACCTCTTGATTGTAAAGCATTCACCAATTTAGCATACCATTGCCTTGAAGCCTGTTTCAATCCATACAAGGATTTGTTGAGTTTACAAACCAATGAAGGTGAATCAACTGTTAATCCAGGAGGCACTTTCATGTAAACATCTTCGTGTAAATCACCATGCAGAAATGCATTATTTACATGGAATTGTTGAATTGGCCATCCATTTTTCACTGCAACAGAAACAATACATCTAATGGTATTAAATTTTACCACTGGTGAGAAAGTTTCATGGTAATCCACCCCTTCTTTTTGTGTAAAACCTTTTGCCACCAAGCGTGTTTTATACCTCTCAATAGAGCCATCAACTTTGAGCTTTATCTTATACACCCATCTGCATGATATTGGTTTCTTGCCTTTAGGTAGTTTAACAAGAGTCCATGTGTTGTTGTCTTTTAAGGCTTTTAACTCTTTTTCCATTGCATCTTCCCAATTAGTGTTACCCTTAGCTTGATAATAGAATGCAGGCTCGATATGATGAATATGAGAAAGGGTATTTTGGGAAGAAACTTGAGAACAAAAGGAATGAGTGGAAGAAAAAGGAAGAATGCACATGTTAGTAATCGTGTGATTGCATGTATCAGTAGAGGATGTAACATCACCATGATTGCAAATATAATCTTGAAGATATGATGGAGGTTGTCTTGATCTGGTTGTTCGTCTTATGGGTGGATCAGGTGTTTGAGTATGAACAACACTTGGAGAGACTATGGGTGAATAAATCTCTTCAGAATTCAAAGTAATAGACTCGTCTACAACAGATTGGGGAAGATATGAGGTGGAATTTGGTTCATGTGTTATGGGATTAAGAACATGTAAAGGAAAAATGTTTTCATAAAACTTAACATCTCTTGTAACAAAAATATGTTTTGTAGAGATGTTTAGTAATTTATATGCTTTTTGACCAAGTGGGTATCCAACAAAAACACATGCTTGAGATCTTGGCATGGATTTATCCCTTCCAACATGAGTTGTGCTTGCAAAACACAAACAACCAAATGCTTTGAGCTGTGAAATATCAGGTTTTACATTATAGAGAGCTTCAAATGGTGATTTAAGCTTGATAACTTTGCTAGGCATACGATTGATTAAATGAACAACCGTTTCAACACAACAAGACCAATAAGCAATACCCAATCCGGATTGAAAGAACAAAGCTCTTGCTGTCTCCAATATGTGTTTGTGTTTCCTCTCAACTATGCCATTTTGTTGAGGGGTACTTGGAGCCGATTTCTGATGTAAAATCCCATGTTCTTTGAAAAAATCTTGTCCTTCAAAGCTTGTCCCCAATTCAAAAGCATTATCACTTCTTATAACTTTGATAGTCTTTGAAAATTGAGTTTTAATGAGATTTACAAAAGCCTTGATTAAAGACATTGCACATCCCTTATTACTCATCAGGTAAATCCATGTGTGTCGAGTACAATCATCAACAATTGTAAGAAAGTATTTGTAACCATCATACGAAAGATGTTTATAGGGTCCCCATACATCAATATGTATTAGATCAAATGGAGCATTTGAAACACTTTGACTGTGCATAAATGGTAAACGATGTTGTTTGGATTTAAAACAAATTGAACAAGGGAAAATACTAGAACTATTAGTATTCGAAGGAATGACATTAAGATGTTTAAGTGTTTCAAAAGAGGCATGCCCCAATCTATTATGCCAAACAGACACACTAGAAATATGTTTTACATTGGAACAATTGGCAATTATTGGAAATTTGAAAACAGAACAATTGAAAGAAAGACTTGTTCTAATACATCTATGATCGAAAACATAGAGATCATTGACTCGATGTCCCAGTATACCAAGAGCAAGCTTACTCTTCAATAAAGGGTCCTACATGAAGCAAGATTGATCAGTAAAAAGAACAAATGTTTGTAGTTGAGAAGCTAATTTGGGGACTGAAACAAGATTGTATTTGAAACATGGTACATACAATACATTTCGAAGAAGAATTGAATCATGTATTTGTATATCACCATAAGAATCAATGGAAGTTTTATGGCCATTAGGAAGACCAATAAGATGAGGTTGATGGAGCTTTCGAAGATTAAGAAACAAAGATTTATTGGAGCACATGTGATCAGTAGCTCCAGAATCGATTATCCATGAAAAATATTCATGTAATAAATGTGACGATTTTTGAACATTAGAAACAAAATGTTCAAAAGAAAAGATACCTTCACTGTTCATAGCACCTTCAGTAATGGAAGTGTTGGCTTGAGTGGATGAAGAAGATGGACTGAAATTGTGAACGGTGAGCAGTTGAAGCAGTTGATTATACTGATCAACAGTAATGGGAGAGGTAGATTGAGCGGTGACATTTTGTGCAGTAGACTTGACATCATCTCTTTTCCCTTTTGTGAATTTGAAATTTGATGGAAAACCATTTAACTTGTAACATTGTGCTTTGGTATGCCCCGTTTTCTTGCAATGGTTACATGTGAGAGTCTTTTTGGAAGTATTATCATATGAAGCTTGCATAGCAATCGCATATGAATGAATAGAAGGAGAATTAATAATACTTCTCTGTTGTTCTTCTTGGAGAAGGATTGAATATGCAGTAGATACAGATGGTAATGGCTTCGTCATGAGTAATTGACCTCTCACAACTTTATATGTATCATTTAAACCCATCAGAAGTTGTATAAGACGCTGATCATCAAGAAATTTCTGAATCCGAGCAGCAGTACCACACGAACAAGAAGGAAGATCTTGGAGAATCCTCAATTCATCCCAGATCTTTGTGATTTTAGTGAAATAGGTAGAAAAATCTCCAGATCCTTGGGATAATGAGTATAGTTGTTGTTGAATTTGATACAACTGAGTTCCACTTGATTGTTCGTAGCGTTGAATTAACTCGTTCCAAATTTCAGAGGCGGATTCGAAGAAAAGAACACTATCAGCGATAGATTTTTAGAGAGAATTTAAGATCCAGCTGATAACCATCGAATTTGCACGAAACCAGAGAGAATATGAAGAAGAATTAGAAGCTGGTTTAGCGATTGATCCATCAACAAACCTAATTTGTTTTTGGCAGAAAGAGATAAAATCATAGATCTCTTCCAAGAATTGAAGCCAACACCATTGAAGACTGTTGAAACAAGAATTGAATTGGGAGTATCTGAAGAAGCAATGAAAAAAGGACTTGAATTGTTAAGAACAGATGAATCATTAACAGTTGAAGATGATTCAACCATTATTGACGATGATGAAGATTAATGGCAGAAAAGAAGGATTGAAGTCTCTGATACCATGTTAAGCATAAAGCTTTGAGAGAGAAAATGAATTGAAGTCTCTGATACATTCAAGAATTGGAGAAAGTGCCAGAAAGACCTTACGTGGAATACAAATGGGATATCGATTGAAAGTTTTCAATCCGGTAAAGTTTTGTTGGATTTTTCCAATGGTTTTTATTATGTCTTTGTATATTTAGGGTAGAAGGCAAAAACGGGAGGAACATTCATAGTTTCAGAAGGAGCTGAATTATCGAATGTTGTTGATGTCTCATTTACTGGATTTGGTTAAGAGAAGTTTCTTTAATGTTCACGTGAGACATAATAGTTGAAATAATATCTAATTGTTTTATATGTTGGGATTGGACAAAACTACAAAAAAGACTACAATATGCTTTAAGAAATCACATGCAGTAGGGGTAGGGTTGAGCAATTTGATGGGTTTTATAGGTTAAAAAAACTATATACTTGCGGAAAATCTCTTAACACTTAAGGGCACATGCAACCTAAATGATCTATGTCATAACACTTTAAAGGTAACATACAATGAACAACAAAACCTACGAGTCACGATTACTGTACCCGGGGAAAAAGTGAAGAAGCCATATGTCAAGTCCATTAAAATTATATGTTTAAAAAATCCACCAGTCTATAAAGTTGTACATGACTAAGGGTGTATATTGTTTAATCTGGTTGGCTGTGGTTGTGTATGTGTGTCAATAATTCTGGTCTTTTTGTTTGGTTCGTCCATCATGTGCTTGATGAAATGCATAGCAAGACTCAATAACATGATAACCGCATCTTTAAGATCCTGTTTGGTATAAAGGTGATCGAGAAGAAATGAGAAAATCTTGTTTTGTGGGCTGAAGAAGCGTCGACTGAAGATGCAGCCTAAAGGGGGGAAGAAGTGTTTCGTCCGCTGTGCCTCGTTCGGAGTTTCCAAGACTTGGTCATAAGTTTTTGTAAACAAAAACTGCATTTCTTTATTTTATCTTTAAGTATTTACAAATTCAAATAGAGGTATAATAGTCAATATGTAATTTTTTCAGTGGAAGAATCAAAAAATTAAGTGGAAAAATCAATGCCCTTAAACAATAAAAAGTAAAAATAAAACACGCGGTTAAATCGAAAACCGCATATAACATGACGCCAATCAACAAACGGTCTAAATGGAGTTGCTTTATCTTCTCTGCTCAATCATCTCCACCACTCTTATCTCCTTCACTCTCTCCCTCCTCCTCCCCTTCCGCCTCCTCCTCCACCGTCTCTTCCCTCGCTCAACGACCGCCGACGCAACCACTTCGATCTCCCTCTACGATGGCACCGTCTGGCACGAACGCGGTCGTCCCGTTCACCATTCCTTCAAGTACCCCGTCCGTTACGCTTTTATTGACCTCGATCACACACCTCACGCTCCACCTCACCACCTCTCGCCTCAACAAGCTCGCGATATTGCTCAAACCAATGGTCCTGTGTAAGTACCTAATTGTCCTTAAACCTTGCTAATTTCTTATTTCTGTCAATTTTATTTGTTCTGCATAATTTCGATTCTTCCATTCCGATTCCAATATTTTGAATTTTTAAGTAGTTTCATTTTCTTTGGATAATATGATATAGATCAAATATGTTTGGATTTCGAGATCTCTTGACTAACTTTTGCACCTTTCGCTTAGTTTCCTCTTGACAATTCCTCCTAGCGTCGGATACGAACAAAACCCCTTAAGTTTGTACTATTGCTACAACGAAGAAGGCTCAAACACAACCTTAATCAAGTGCATAGCTGAGGTCTGTAATCCATCACTTTCGATTTCTCTGTTTATAATGTCAATTACCTTAACATGGTTACAATTTCTCCCTTTAGGTCACCAATACACCATGGGGAGAAAGAGTACAGTTCCTTTTCAACCCGGATTCTGATGTAGTCGCTAAACCCCTTCATGTCAGCCCTTTCATGGTATTCAATCGACTTAAACACACTTACAAACAAACATGTAGACATAGATATGTATGCATAAACTGATTGTTTCTGTTATTGTTTTGATTTCATGTTGATTACAGGATATGCTTGGGAACTGGAGTATAAGAACAAGTACACCTGGGGATAATCTTGTAGTGAATATTTCCGTTAAACATCCTAAACATGGTGACTATTTCACTGCATCCTTGAGGGCAAATAGGGTATCTTCATCATCAGTCGATCATGCAGTTTTCTTCTGGTTAATGCCACACAAAGTTGCACTCTGGATCTATTGGCATGTAAGTGTGTGTCAAAATTCAAAATTCAAATACATTAGAATGTATGAGGCACCTCAAAAATTCAAATACATGATGCAGGCTTTGAAGCTATGGTGGAAGAATGTGGTGTTTATTATGCACCCAAGATATGGAAATTCATCGTATAAAGAAGATGCATTGACACGCGATAGAAGTTTTGCATGTTGTCAAGCTTTTGGAACACAAAGAAATGAAAGTGGAAAATTTGAAAAGAGTATTGAATCCGACCTTTTTGATTCTGATGTGAACAAAAAAGATCGTTGGTTTCAATGGACAGATGCTAAATGGCCTTGGTGCTGAATCGATTAAGTCATTGTTGTAAGATTATTTAAAAACCAATTCACTAAGATGTCACATTGAATGAACATATGATGATTGTAAGAGTATTGTATTAACGAAAAAAATGACTACAACATGTTGAAAATATAATATAAATCAAGTTACTTGTCTTTGTTATTTTACAACAAATTAAGTAGAAGATACAAGTAATTAAAAGAGAGAGAAAAAGGGAAATTAGTTTCACTCTTTCTCTCAAACCATATAACAACACAACTTTACATTATAACCTTAGTTGGTGCAATCAAAACCATGGCAAATTGAAAGCCAAATAACAAGAACAAGTAACAGAAGAATCCCAAGAACAACTAGTTTTATTTTCATGTTTTGATACCACATCTTCCTTCGTATTTTTGTTCCCGCTTTCTTAAACTCTTGTGCCTGAAAAATAATACAATAAAATAAAATAAAGAATTAGTAAAATATTATACATACTGACATACATGAAAATTGATTTACCCAAATAGGTAAATGCACATACTGAATCACGCAGATTTTCAGCCTTGTCGTTTAAAGTTGTAAGGTTTTGTCCTCTATCAATAGCCTGAAATGTAAGATCAAGAATGTTAATTTCAATATCAAAAACTAATAAACTACCAAAATAAATATAAAAAAATAAATAAAAACATACAAACCTTGTCTATGTTCTCCAACATTATACTTTTAACTTCTGAAACTTGTGCTTTCACTTTTATAAGTTTCTCAATCTCGTCTGCATGTTCGATTATGTATTGCATGTGTTCTTTCATTATAGGGCTGCATTCACAAATCGTGTTGTGTCAATTTAATATAACAAGACATGGTTATATATATATATATATATATATATATATATATATATATATATATATATATATATATGTTTTTATAAGTACCCGAATTCCTTGTTGAGACTTTTGGCAACTGCTGTATCGGCTTTACCACCACCATATCTTTTCTTGAAGTCTGCTCTCACACGTTCAAGAAATGCAATTGATATTTGTTTGCCAACTGATTCTTTTGCAACAACACAATAAGCTGAAATTTTAAATCAGAGTAATTATGAGTTATACAATTTCGTGATTCAATATATTAATGATCAATGTTGTTATACAAATATTTAAATACCATACCCTTCAAATTTGTAAATGTTCAAGATATAAAAAAGGAGTTAAAAAGGGGAAATGTATGAATTTGCTGTTCTTGAATATATGATGTTGTTTAGTGTTATAAGGATGAATTTTGGCATGAATAAAGTTTATAAACCCTAATCCCTAAAAACCAGTTCAGAATCTAAAGAGACCCTTTTTCACCCACGACATACCCTACTTTTTTATGGAACTTTCGTCTTTCAATCTTATCAAATTTACATTCAAAGCAAAGGAGAACAGCAAAACCCTACCAAAACATATTTAATCATCCAAGAACAATCTAAACCATCCTTTGTAAGCCAATCAAAACAATCTGAATTTTTCCCTTTTAACAAAACCCTGAACCTCGCAAAGCAATTTCTCTATTTCTTCCCCAAATCCATCAATCAATTAATCGATTAACATGTACGTAAAGCAGAGTAAGATCTCGGACGAAATACAAACCAACTGTCAGATCCAGCTGAAAAAACGAAGAAGGAAATAGAAGAACTTACCGTAACCATCTTGGACTAAGAAATTGAAGGTATGGTGATCACAATTGTACGTGAATTTGTTATTAGTAGAAGGTAGTTTTTGAAGGCACTGAGTTGCGATTGCGGGGAAGTTGCCTGTGAACTCGGTGTACTCGGCCAGAACCATTGTTCCTCGAGCTACGAAGCTGTAGATGAAGGATTCCTGACCCATCAAGCTTGCTTTTGGTTTGAGTTTTCTCTCGATTTAGCTCCGAGTTATGGTGGGAAGAAGGAGAGAGAAAACTCAGTGACCGATATCCGCAGATGTTCTCCGACACAGTTCCTCCTTTCACATTTTAAGAAAAGTATTTCCCACCGGTTGCCACAGTTTTTATTTTAATACTAATAAAATTGGCATGGGGATGTTTAAAAATAAAATAATCGAATGATTAATTTTGTTTTTCCGGTTTTAAAGTTAAAGATATTTTGGTGGAAAAGGAAATTACATGAGGATGGGCTAATGGTTACTTTCATCGATTCAATTTTTGAGTAAATTACAGTTTCAGTCCCTGTGGTTGGCACTTATCTTTGGTTCAAGTTTTAAAAAATTTATACGGATAGTTTTCAACTTTTCATGGTTTTAAAATCTATTAATGTTGTTTTTCTGGGCGTTGCCGTCAATAGGTGATGACTATTTTACTCATAAATTAAGTCTATAAAAGATATAAACTACAAGTACCATATATGTAAATTATTACAAAAATTGAAATAAGAACTCAACCATTCACTTTCTATCCTCCCTACCTTTCTATTTTCTCTTTCACCCCTCCCATCAATTGGTAAAATTACTATTTCATGAATACGATAGAATATTACACATAGGATTACGGTGTTTATAGAGAATTTATGTTAGAGGATATGAACCAAATGAGATTTCACTCGTAGGTTTCTCTAATGCTTGCGTGTTTAATTTATCAATTATATTTTATAGGTAAGTTATATAACCATATAGATTTAGTCTCTTCTATTATAGACAAAATGTGATATCCATCATACTACGACTGCGTGTGGTGCGTCATATTTAGCTGATAAGTTAGTTTATTTTTTGAGCTTTTTAAGTTGTTATGTTTGGCAAACCAAAAATAGCTTATAAGCTAGCTTTTTAAAAAGTTACTTATATTAGTTTTTCATAAGTGTTTTTTTTAAATAATTTCTAATATACCCTTAACTAATTATAAAAACATATTCTTTTAGATGCCATTTTATGTCATTTTATATATTTAAGCTAACTTATCGGCTAGTTTTTATCAAATATTATTTTTATTAGTTAGTTTTTCAACTAATAACTAACTTTTTAACTATCAACTAGCTTTTCAGCTACTACATCAAACATAACCTGCATATACTTAAGTTTAGGGATTTGTCATAACATTATGGAAAATGTTACAATGCATAATATAATTGCACGTAACACATAAAAACATTACAAAATAGTTTGATGACCATATTAACGGGTTATTTTCCAACAACATCCATCAATGATACCCCATTTTCTTATATTTGCGATATCCCTAGTCATAAGAAATTTCGGTCTCGACAAGCAAGACAAATCTCTTTAATTTTGAATTTTGATATGGAGAACTTTAATAATATTCATTTTTATATGTTTTGTATGTATGAAGGTTTCAGATGCATTATGTTGAATTTTCTTGTCCGACACTCTCTAAATCATCATGTTTATTATTAATTTTTCGTTTTTAGCTTGAATGGATGCTCAATTAGCTTTTGTCACCTTCCCTTTTATACCAAACAAGAATAAAATCAGTTTGACGTTAAACACATCGAAGGCGTTGTTAATGTATTAGATGTTGGTGACAAAAATGAAATCTCTAAATCATCGTGAATATATATATATATATATATATATATATATATAAATTTGGTGCAAGTAAAACTAAAACTAACAAAATTAAACTAAAGCATTATAAAATAAAAGAAGGAGATTTGTGAGGGTTCTTGAACACTTAGAAGATTGTATTCAAGATCGTGTGTTTATTTCTTTCACATTTGATGTGTATTTATACTACATATCATCATATTCTTACATCATCAATTAACAAAATAGTTAAAGGAGACTATTTGAAGGGTGAAAATGTTCATCTACATGCTATGTCTAACTCAATAATTTTATGGCTTTTATAACACTCCCCCTTAAATCATATTTTTTCAAATCTGAGTTCAACCTCGAAGTACTGCCTCATTAAAAACCTTGTTAAAGAAAACCCAACGGGAAAAAACTTTAACGAAGGGAAAAAGAGTGCAACATATAGTTGACTCCCTCTTATTTAGACATTTGTTACGTTGTGTGTTATGCACATGTCACATTCTGATGTCATGTACATGTTTTCTGAAGATTGCAGTAGGAAGTGCTTTCCTGAAGAGGTCTGCTACATTGTTGCTAGATTGAACATATTCTATCTCAACCTTTTGATCTTTTATAAGCTATTGAATGTATTAAAAAAACTTTGGAGGTATGTGTTTTGTCCCGTCGCTCTTGATATATCCTTCTTTCATTTGAGTGACACATGCTAAGTTATCTTCATAAATTTAAGTTGGACCTTTATCTTTATCTAGTCCACATGAAGACAAAATGAGTTGTCTCATCGATCTTAACCATTTGTATTATCTAGTAGCTTCATTTAGTGTAATTACTTCAGCATAATTTGAGGACGTGGCGACAAGTGTTTGCTTTTGAGAGCGTCAGGAAATTGCAGTGCCTCCGTTCATGAATATGTATCCAGTTTGAGATCTAGCTTTATGGGGATCAGATAAATAGCCTGCATCTGCATAACCAATCAAACCTTGTTTTGAATCATTAGGATAAAATAACCCTAAATCAGTAGTTCCTCAAAGATATCGTAAAATATGCTTAATCCCATTCCAATGTCTTTTTGTTGGGGATGAACTGAACCTTGCTAGCAAGTTTACAATGAAAGAAATGTCAGGTCTAGTACAATTTGTAAGATACATAAGAGCCCCAATTGCATTTAGATATGGTAATTCTGGACCAAGAACTTCTTCATTTTCTTCCCGAGGACGAAATGGATCTTTGTCAATATTTAATGATCTAACAACCATTGGGGTGCTTAAAGGATTGGCATTGGCCATATTGAAACGTTTCAAGACTTTTCCTGTATAACTTGATTGATGTACAAGTATTCTGTTAGACATATGCTCAATCTGCAAACCAAGACAATATTTGGTTTTACCAAAATCTTTCATTTCAAATTCTTTCTTTAAAAGTTCAATCACTTATAGGATTTCTTTATCTGTTCCAATGATGTTTAGATCATCAACATAACATACCCAAATGTTGTTTTCTTAATAAATATGCATGGACAAATAGTGTTATTTTTATAAACTTTACTTGTCAAATAATCGCTTAAACGATTACACCATATGCGCCCAGATTGCTTTAACCCATACAAAGATATTCACAATTTTATAGAATATATTTCTTTGGGTTTTGCACGTAATGCTTCCGGCATTTTAAATCCTTCAGGGATTTTCATATAGAAATCACTATCAAGTGATCTATACAAGTAAGCTTTAACAAAATCCATAAGGCGCATCTCTAAATTTTCAGGGACTGTCGAGCTGATTAAAAAAAGTGTTTGCATCCATTACCGGTGAATAAGTTTCCTCATAATCAATTCCAGGTCTTTAAGAGAAACCTTGAGCCACAAGCCTAGCCTTGTATCTTACAATTTCGTCTTTCTCATTTCTTTTTCGTACGAAGATCCATCTATACCCTAATGGTTTCACAACTCCAGGTGTGAGGATAATAGCCCAAAAACCTTTGTCTTATTAAGAGAATTTAATTCAACTTGCATAACCTTCTTCCATTTAGCCCAATCATTTCTTCTTTGACATTCAATGACAGATTGTGGTTCGGGATCATCATTCATAATATCAGATGCAACTGTATAAGAAAATATTGCACTTATATTATCAGTTTCATTTTGGTCACATATTCTATTTGTTTAACCATAATTTAGTGCAACATCTTCCTTTCCTGGGGGAATTTTGATATTTCTTGTTTCTCTAGGAACACTTTCCTCATGATCTAGTGTATTTTCTACTCCTCTTCTTTTCGGTGGGTTCTTATCCTTAGAACCAAATGGTCTTCCACGCTTCAGGCGTGTTTTAGACTCTTAAGTGACTTTATCATCAGATTGTCCATATGAAATTTCAATTCGAGCTGGAACATTGACAGCTGGTATATATGATTTAGTCACCCTTTTCATCTCAGTAAATACATTAGGCAATTGATTTTCCATTTCTTGGAAATGCATTATCTTTTGAACTTCCATTTCATATTGTTTTGTGCGAGGGTCAAGATATGATAAAGAAGGCTCATGCCATGAAACATCCTTTTCTATAATCTTCTTTTCTCCCCCTAGTGATGGGAAATTTGCCTCATCAAATTGGCAATCAGCTAGGTATGCTGTAAAAACATCACATGTTAAAGGTTCAAGATTTCTTATTGTAACGTCCCAACTAAAAGACTCAAAAAGGTTCCATTTTTAAATTTCTAAAATAGTACATCATCTCAATTTCATAAACCAAGGTAATCAAAGCTCTATTAATATATCATCGTTATCAGAGTAAATCACAGAATGCGGAAACATGTGGTGTGTGCTCTGCAATCATCTCGAGCTCTTCCATTTGAAAACCAAAGTACCTGAAACATAAACTGAAAATCGTAAGCACAAAGCTTAGTGCGTTCCCTAAGATACAACATACCCTACATACAATAAACCACATATTGGGCCCCCGCCCATCCATCGCCCCCCGCTCGGTCTCGAGTCCCATTCGGCCTCGGGCCCCGCCCGACATCAAGCCCCCCTCAGATTAAAGATCTGTCAATCACCAGGCCCCACCTGAGATTGGTCCCCGCCTGATACACACTTAATCATATAACCACATAATCATATAAACATATAATCTTACTAGCCCATGCAATAATCACAAAGACCATAGCATACCATATAGTCATCGAGCCCCGCCCGGCATCGGGCCTCACTCGATAAGCATAAAAACACATACTGATAACTAGCATACAATATACTCATCAGGTCCCACCTGGCATCGAGCGTTTCCCGTAAGCATACCATCACATATGATACTAATGGGTCACACTAACAACAACTTAAAAGTCATGCAAACATCTAGTATCCAAACATATAAACCATGGGTCGGAATTGGTGCCTTCTGAAAGGTCTAGTATGCTCAAGAGTCATGTTAAAGTGATATTGCTAATTAACATATGATACTAATGGGTCACACTAACAACAACTTAATATAATTGATTATTTATTAGAAATTGATTTTAATAAATATTCAATAAAACTCTTATAATTAAATTGGAAAT